GAGTAATTTTCATTTTTATGTTGCCATTGTTTCTCTAACTTTCTGATGTTGTGATCTTTTTTGAATATGTTTAATATAGGACACATAATTGATAGGTTTATTTTATAATATTCACCCAAAAGTATCAAATGCAGAGAAGTTCAAGAGATCTGCCCATGTGCAAGAAACCCAAAGATTCTTGCCAAGGGCCTGGATCCCATGACAATGTCCTGCACAAGTCCTGCTGAAGACCAAGAGCTCATGGCAACATCCTCCATGAGTCCAGCTGGAGGCCTATAGCCCATAACAATGTGTCATGCAAATCAGTATTAAGGATCTGCTCTGCGAAGGCCCACTGGTCAGTGGTGGACGCTAGGAAGTCTGCACTATGAGGGTGAAGGATCTGTGCTACCAGGCTGAGAGATCAGTACTAGAACTAAGAAGCAATGCTAAAAGTAAGGACCAAACCACCTCTGGAGAGAACAGCAGCCACAGCTGGGACCCAAACTCCTCTGATGATGAGAGTAGCTCAGTTCATGTCAGGACAACCAGCAGGACAAGCTTCTCTCTCTTCCCCTTCACTGCTTCTTTTATGCAATGGACAACATTCCTCATGTGGGGCTTCCACACCCAGAAACACCATGATTCAGTTCACCTGGGTGTAGCGAGGACTGTTGCCTTTTATATCATGATCTAATCACTGGAATTATTTTGAGGTAGTTTGTATGATGTCTAATTAATATGGCCTCTGCAAATTTTGTTGAATCATTAATAGGCCACTATGTCTTTTTGCATAGGTTTTTTTTTTTTTTTAACAAGTTTATTTAAACAAGAAGACACTTGACTTAAAGGGAAAACTATCTAGGATTCTTTTTTTTTTTTTTTAAGAGTAATTTACTCCTACTTAAAGACAGATTGTCCTACATGTAACAGCTGCGTACAAAAAAGTTATAAAATTGTCCTTGGTTTTACAATGACAAAGGAAAAACATTAAAATTCTCCAATCAAACAAGGTATGCAAGGATTTTTATGTTGTTTCTTTTCTGTTAAAACAGCAACAAAGGAAAGAATGACTGGGATGAGGGAAAGAAGAAAAAAGAAGGAATGCAAAATATAAA